GAAATAATTACACGGAAACTGTATTCTTTCAAACACTGCCTGGCCCGGCTAGGTCCAGTTTCTTATTGGCTAGCTCTTACATATTGTTCTAACCCATTTCTAATATTCTGTGTAGCCCATGAGCTGGCTTACCAGAGAGGATCTTAACCTGCGTCTGTCTGGAGTGGGAGCATCATGGCGACTCTTACTCAGCTTCTTTTTCCCAGAATTCTCTTCTGTCTACTCCGCCTACCTAATTTTCTGTCCTATGAGGGCCGAGGCAGTTTCTTTATTAATAAGAAATCACTCCCACATCACCAGGGCAGAGGGAGCTGGAACGCAACAGAACGGAAGTGGGATATTCAAAGAGGTTTAACTAAAAATTATGCAGAGAACATGAACCCATTGACACTAAAAGGGACATCAAGGAGGAGGCTTAGCCTGTTTTCCTGAGGCACAGTGTCCGTCCTGGCGACAGAGAAGCCTCTCTAGGACTCCACATTGAGGCTGAAGTTCAGAAGCCTTACTCTGCCTCTCCCTGACCCTTGAAGATCAGTGGCCTGTGGGAACAGTCGCTCAATATTCATTCTCATGTCTCTAACTTTGTTAGAGGACTGGACAGATGGCTCAGGGGTTAAGAGCTCTTCCAGAAGACCTGGGTTGGTTTCCTAGCGCCCAGATGGATTCCATAACTGTCTGTGACTCTACTTCCATGGGATCTGAGCTGTCTTTTGGCCTCTACAGGCACCAGGATACATACAGGCAAAACATATACATAAAATAAAAAAAAACCTTTAAGAAAAAACTATTAGAAAAAAACTATTAAAACACAATTAGCAACAGTACTAGCTAGATGCATCCATGAGAAAGAAAAATTTGACCAAATAACCTCTTTCTTTTCTTTTAGGCCACTGGAGAATGTACAGCAACAGTGGGAAAGAGGGGAGCTAAGAAATTCTCCGTAGCTACCCAGACTTGCAATATTACTCCAGGTGGGTGATCCATCAGGGGGCCTTCCCTAGTGGTGGCAGCGGGTAGGAGCCTGCAGTGGGCATTAATTATTCGTATGTACCAGGAACACAACCCAGACCAGACTACCTTTGCAGACCGTGACAATGGCAATGCCATCTGCAGTGGTAGCATTGTGGCAGATGTGTGGGCAGAGTACCCCTACCCAGGGTTTTGGATTGGGTCAGGCTGTGTCAATCATCCCCTCAGACCTATCCTAACTCCTCCTGTGTTGTGTCAGCAGGGACAGGTGAGGGTGGAGGCGGACAGAGGATGAGGAGGCTTGGACTTGCCTGCAGTCCCACAGCGCCCCCTACAGGGAGGAGGCTTGGACTCGCCTCTAGTCCCACAGGGCCTCCTACAGGGAGGAGACTTTGAGATTTGGGGTCGGCTCTGACCTGAAATCAGTCCAGGTTTTTATCATCTTCACTTCCCCCTTTCCTTGTCTCAGAAGGGAGAGAGCAGGACTGCACACTTCACAGGACTGCTGTGCTAGAAAATGAGATGATGAAAGACGCAGTGTCTGGGCATCATCAGACGTAGACACCAGATGCCAGCCAGAGCTCACGCTCACCAAGCACTTAGGTGCTGCCATGGGTCTAGGGACTTTACATGTATTAATTACCTCACATGGATCATGTGTTACCTCGTTCGACCATTACAGCTCCCCCGCCGCCACACAGCAAGCCAACACCTCTTGCCAGCTTCTTCCTTCCAGCTCAGGCATCTTCAACATTTTCATAGATGTCCTTTCTGACCTCATTTTAGTCTCCTGGTTTTCCTAGCTCCTGACAACCTCCATGAAATGCTGTCTACACTCTTTCTGTTCTACCTGGTTGTCATTTCTTCATGGAAGTGACACTTAGTTTGTCCCTACACCCTAGTTCAGCACCCGGTGTGTGATAGCAGGGGCAGATGGACTTCAAGGAAAGGCTCCTCTTGGGATGACTAACAAGAAAACCTCTGGCCTTTTATGCTGGTAGTCTTAGTTAGAGTTTCTGTTGCTGTGTGAGACACCATGACCATGACAGTTCTTATAAAAGAAACTGTCGAAGCCCGTGTGGATCCAATACAGATTCCCTAACTGGACTGGAACAGAGTCGCGAGGAATAATCAGACGCAGATTACATGGTCATCTTTCAAGGGCAAGATCTCTCTCCAAAGATCTCTCGTTTATTCTCCAAACACCTTATATATCATCACATAAAATGAGCGGGAAAACACATTAGGCTGTCTCCTAGGCAACCAGGTGCATGGGCTCAAGTCATGTCCGCATCTACCTGTATGCTAGCAGTCATGTAGGCCATGAATTAGCATCTCTATAAGACATCCTCCAAATTACAAAGAAAGGAAGCACCAAACCTCCTAACTCTTAAGTCATCAGCTTCAGCCAACATCTCTTCTCAGGTGATCTACATGTATAACAAAAGAAATTAGGAACAGCACATTCTGGCTATTATTAAACAGAGACAGTTTGTCTGCAGAGTTCGTGACCACCTCAGACCGGGCTTATGGATCTTGTGCCATACAGAAATATGGGCCTACAGAAACCATTTAGTTTGTGCAGGCTCACTTACAGTTCAGAGGCTCAGTCCATTATCATTATGGCCGGGAGCATGCAGTGTGCAGACAGACATGGTGCTGGCTACATCTTGAGCAGAAGGCAGCAGAGAACGGACTATGACACTGGAAGGTATCACGAGCTTAGGAAAACTCAAAGCCTGTCCCCACAGTGACACACTTCCTCCAACAAGGCCACACCTACTCCAACAGAGCCAAAACTCTTTAGAGTATCACTCTCTGAGATTGTGGGGACTGTTTACATCCAAACTACCACACTAATCACATGAACTCAGAGAAGAGCGCCGTCCTGCCAGCTCACAGCGTTCACTTTCTACCTGCCAATGATTTGTTTTAAATCATGTATGACATAAAAAAATGGAAAGAAAAATCTGTTTGGGAGGGTTTTTCTCCAAGAGTTAAAGATCAGGTCGACTTTGTCGGGATTAATGACAGGAAATAAACAGAGGTAGGCAAAAAGGAGCTTAATTAACACACAAATTTATGATATATCTGTAATGTTTCCCTTTTTCATAAAGTGGTGAGTTAATATATTACTGTGGTCATTAAAATAAAGGCCTAATGATGTAGCTCAGCTAGTGTCACCGTCCTGGAGGTGGTGGGACCTGTGAGCATGGAGTTGTTAAGTGAGGCAGACTAAAGTCTTCTGTAATAACCAACTTCATTCAGAGCCTCAGATGACTTATACCCTGAATGCCTGGGTTCAATCCCCATCACCTCATAAGTCAGGCACAGAGGCCTGCAGAGAAAAGTAGAGGAAGGAGGATCAGACTTCCCAGGCGATCCTAAGCTATACAGATAGTTCCAGACCAAGACTGGGGTATATGAGGCCCATGTCTAAAAAATGAAATAAATATAACATTAAAAAAAAACTATTCTTAGTGCTCTCCACTTTCCCTCTGACTACACAGGAGACCTAGACTCTCATCATGTTTAACTCCTATGGGAGTAACTGGAAAGTCAGTTATCCGGAACTTCTAAATGGTTTGGGTTTGGAACAGTGTATATGAGAGATGTTTTCAGTTGTTAACGCTGTCTCTTTGTCTGCTCTTTGTCAAGGTAATGGACCTGTATTGACAGCCCAGTACACCTGTTTGGGCTGTGTACACCCCATACCGCCTGATAGCCCTGAACTGGAGCCTGTCCTGAAACACGCAGTCGAGCATTTCAACAACAACACCAAGCACTCCCACCTCTTTGCTCTTGAAGAAGTAAAAGCAGCCCAGAGACAGGTTTGTTTTTTCAGTGTTTCATGACATGATATGGTTAAAAATTTGTTAGATTAGCATCTTGTCACATAAAATAAACCTGTGTGGTTCCTGCTGTTCCCCCTGCCAGGAGGAACCTGTTTGGTCTCATGCTTAATGTACTGGATGGAGTGTTCCTCTGCGTTTTCACGAGAATAGCTCTTAAAGCAAGGAGCTTTCTCTAGGGCCCAGGTGAGCAGAGTGACCCATACAAAGGGAAGGGTGACTCACATCTTCTTCTCTTGGGTTTGTATGTAACAAATAGTTCAGCCTTTCATGAAATTGTCATTCTGGTTTTAGGATTTAAAAAATCTGTATTACTATCTTGTTGTCATTAATTAAATACTGCCTCAAAGTATTAAGTTGGTCCTAAAAAGATGGACATGACTTCCTGGGTACACCCTAAATTATACTTGACACTCGCTCATTGTGGTGAGGTGGAAAAGTTGTCTATTCCACAGTCTTCTGATTATTTATCTATCTATGTATTTGAATTTTTGTCTGTTTGTTTGCTTGCTTGTTTGCTTGTTTGAGGCAGGGTGTCTCTACAAAGCCCTGATTGTCATGGAGTTCACTATGTAAACAGGGCTGGCCTCAGAATCACAGAGATCTGCCACCTCTGCCTATGTATCATTCTCTACCTTCAGTTTAACTTGCCACTGCAGGAGATTTGTATTTTACATCTGTGTTCATGTTCAGAGGTCAACATGAGGGCAGTAGGTGGTCAGTATTGAAAAGGTGGTCAGAATGGAGTTTGTGGTCAGCATAGGGAGGGTGGGTGGTCAGCATGGGGAAGGGAGGTGGTCAGCATGGGGATGGTGTGTACTCAACATGGAATTGGCAGTCAGTGTGGGGCCTGTCAAGAACAAAGCAGGAGAATTTCACTAACTGGTGACCTGAGACCCATCAACTCATCAGGAAAGGTCATTTCCATTTCTCACTCCTCCTGCATAGACAATCATATTGTTTCACAAAGCTGGGGGAAATATGCCCTATTGACAACCTGGAAAAGGAAAAATTGTGGGGCTTTTATTTCAAGAAATATAATGTATTTATGTATATATACAATTTACAATTACATTAAAGTGTTTGTGTGTATTTTGCAGTTACATGGAAGTGTGTGTGTGTGTGTGCACACATGTGCGAAGATACTCAATTTTTACTCAGTGATCCCTTTGCCTGGTAGCAATGATGCTGTGTATTCCCTGAGCACTTACTCAATCCAATTCAATGTTTAAAGATGTTTATAACTTTTGCTCATTGTGTTTAGTGTTCATGCTGAACTTCAAGTACTCACTCAATCTAAAATCATTTCAGGTGGTGGCTGGAATGAATCTTCAAATCACCTACTCAATTGTGCAAACTAATTGTTCAAAGGAGCAGTTTCTATTCTTATCTCCAGAGTGCAAATCCCTTGCGGATGGAGTAAGTAGGCAAAAGTTGAATGATCGTCTTTAACATTTTGTTATCAGCATGACGGGACTGTCAACCCTGTGGGAAGACTGTCCCTAAAACTGAGATATGGTTTGGTAGTTCGCATCCATGGTCACGGAGACACTGCACACGTCACCCTGAGTATTTACCTTCACCAGGGATGAGGCCCGGGGCTTGGGCCGTCACCCTCTCCTGTCTCCTCTGATGATGTGTGCTCAGTGTTTCACAGGTTCCTCTAGACCCCGGCTCCTTACTTCAGCTCTTCCCTTCCTGGTTCTTCATCTTCTCAATTCTACTTTCATGTTAGTTAACACATTCTGTGGATGACATCTTGGCACTCATTGGCCCTACCTGAATAGGAGAGCTCCAGGGTCAGTGAGAGACTCCATCTCAACCAATAAGGTAGAGAGAAACTAAGAAAGGCCTCTGACATCAACCTTTGGATTCTGAATTTGTGTACAAACACGTGCACGTGCATGCACACAGATGAAGGTATGCACACCTAATATACAAACAAATAAATCAAGCAGGAAATAATTAGATATGCTTGCAACTACACTTCTAGATGTCTCCGCAAAGGAACTCAAAAGGAAGCTCAAGCAGAGAAAGTCGTGTTCCCAGCAGCACTACTCAGACAACCCAAAAGTATAAACGACCCATGTGCCCATCAACAGAGGTCTTTCTCAGTTCTGTTGCTGTGATGAAATACTGACCAAAAACAACTTGGGATGGGAAGGCTTTATTTTATCACAAGTCACAGTCTCTCACTGAAGGAAGCCAAGGCAAGAACTCAAACAGCAGCCCGGAGGAATGAACTGAAGCAAAAGCACAGAGCTGCTCACTGATTTGCTGACCAGGCTGATTCTTGTTCCTCTGAGGAGCGTCTTCCCCGGGGGTAGGACCATTCACAGTGGGCTGGGACCAGTTATGCCAATCATTAATCAAGAAAATGCTGGGACTGGGAAAATGGCTCAGAACTTAAGAGCGTTTATTGTTTTCCTGAGAACACAGTTTGCATTCTCGGCTGAGCCAAAACCTTCTGGAACTTCAGTTCCAGGGTTTCTGATTCCCTCTCAAGGCCTTAGTGGGCACCAGGCACGTGGTGGACACATGCATGTAGGCAAAACACTTGCACATATAAAATAAAATTTAAAAAAGAAAGAAAAAGATGTTCCACAGACTTGACAACAAGCCGATCTGATGGAGGCATTTCCCAGTTGAGGCTCCCTTTTCCCACGTGATTCTCGTTTGCATCTAGCTAATAAAAAACTAACCAGGACAGCAGGTGAATGGATGAATAACACACTGTGTACATACACCAAAGGATGATGCACCTACAACATGTGTGAACTCTGAAGCGTGGGATAAATGAAGTGAGTCAGACACGGAAGTATAAATATTGTATGAAGCCATTTATATGTAATATATAAGGTACGCAAATTCATAAAGACAGGAAGTAGATGAACATTCAGAGGGGCCAAAAAAGGGTACGATGATTGTCTATTGCTTACTGGACTTAGAATTTCTGTTGGAGTAAAATTATTTTTCAACGCAGCAATGAAGATTGTATAGCATGGTGAATTTTAATCAACAACAGCTAATTCTACAACTTTCAATGTTTTATTTTTTTTACTTTATTACTTAAAAAAATACCAATGCAAATTCCCACTCCCTCCCCTCCTACCACTCCCCTCCTACTCCCTTCACAGACCCTCCCACCCCACCCCTCTCCAATCCTAAAAGAGGGCAATGCACCCCACCCTGTGGAGAGTCCAAGGCCCTCCCTACTACATCTAGGTTGAGCAAGGTTTACATTCAAAGATAGTAAGATCCCAAGAAGCCAGTACATGCAGTAGAGTCACATTCCAGTGTCACTGTCAGTGGCCCCTCAGTCTGCCTCAGCTGTCAACCACATTCAGAAGGACTAGTTTGATCCCATGCTTATTCACTCCCAGTCCAGTTGGAGTTGGTGAGCTACCATTAGCTCAGGCAAACTGTCTTAGTGGATGAACCCCTCATGGTCTTGAATTCCTTGCTCATACTCTCACTCCTTCCACTCTTTAACTGGATCTGAGGAGCTCAGTCCAGTGCTCCGACGTGGGTCATTGCCTCTATTCCCAACTGTTGTTGGACGAAGGTTCTATTTAAGATAATTATCAGTCTGACTACAGGGTAAGGTCAGTTCAGACACCCTCTCCTCTATTGCTTAGGGTCTTAGCTGGGGTCATCCCTGTGGATTCCTGGGCAGTTTTCTAGAGCCAGGTTTCTTGAAAACCACATAATGGCTCCCTCAATCAAGATATCTCTTTCCTTGTTCTCATATCTGTCCTTCCTCCATCTGGACTATCCCAATGCCTCACGTTCTCCTCAACCACTCCTTCCCTTCTTTCTACCCCCTGCCCCCGTACTCCCAAATTTTTAGCTGTTTCCAGTTTCCAGGTGGGTCTATATATGTTTTTTTTTTTTTGGGCTCACCTTCTTACTTAGTTTCTCTGGGATCATGAACTATAGGCTCAATGTCCTTTGTTTATGACTAGTATCCACTTAAAGAGTGAGTACATACCATATTTGTTTTTTGGGGTCTGAGTTACCTCACTCAGGATAGTGTTTTCTAATTCCATCCATTTGATTGCAAAATTCAAGATGTCATTGCTTTTTTTACTGCTAAGTAGTACTCTAATGTGTAGATGTGGCATACTTTCTTTATCCTGAGGGGCACCTAGGTTGTTTCCAGGTTCTGGCTATTACAAATAAATGGGATGTCTTGAAACTAAGAACATTCTGTAAAGCAAAGAACACAGTCAATACAACAAAAAGGCAGCTTATAGAATGGGAAAAATATGTTCACCAACCCCACTTCGGACAAAAAAAACTGATCTCCAAAATATATAAAGGACTCAAGAAATTAGACATTAAAATTCTAAATAACCCAATTAAAGTGTGGTGTACTGAACTAAACAGAGAATTCTCAACAGAAGAATTTCAAATGGCCAAAAGATACTTAAGGACATGTTCAATTTCTTTAGCTATCAGGGAAATGAAAATCAAAACAACTCTGAGATACCATCTTACACCTGTCAGAATGGCTAAAATCAAAAACACCTATGATAACTTAACCTGGAGAGGATGTCCATTGCTGGTGGAAATGCAAACTTGTGCAAAGACTTTGGAAATCAGTGTGGTGGTTTCTCAGAAAACTGGGATTCAACATACCTCAGGATCCAGCAATACCAGTCTTGGGAATATACCCAGAACATGCTCAAACATAGTAACAAGAACATTTGTTCAAATATGTTCATGGCAGCATTACCTTCAATGTTTTAAATGGAAAAATTTATATTTTATATCTACATATCCTATCTACCTTCATATTTTATTTCATATATACATAATATATTTACCCCAGGTTCAGTGAGAGACCCTTCTCATAAGCTAAGGTGCAGAGTCTGGAGAGGTGGCTCAATGATTATAAGGAAGCCCTGCTTTTATAGAGGACCTGAGTTTGATATCTAGCACCCCCATCTCACATCAGGAAGTTTACAAACTTCTTTAACTCCAGTGTCAAGAGATTAATCATCCCGCAATTGTGAACACACACACACACACACACACACACACACACACACGAAGACACAGAGAGAGAAACCCACTCACTTATATGTTCACCACGTAGTGAACATTCTTATTTCATGCCCCTCTGTTTATTTGTAGCCATAGATATTCTCACGTGCTTCTGGGTTTCCTTTTGCTTTCAGCTTCTATTCCTTTTTCTCCCCTTTTTCCTATGCAAGAATTTCTTAAGCAAGCATACTGTCTTTGATTTTTATTAGTTGTTTGTTTTCAAAATTGATTGTAACTTCTGACTTTGAACCACCAGGATTTTGGGGAGTGTAGTGATAACGCCTTTGTGGATATCAAACAAAACGTTGCTGACTTCTCCCAGGACTGCAACATCTATCCAGGTGAGAAAGCATATAGGGGGCCATGGAGAAGCAATGGGGCCTGCCTTCTGACCCAGCTGCAGCGTGTCTGTAAAGGGCCAAGTCAACCCAGGACAGAAGGAACAGTGTGTGCTCTCTGGGCCAAGGCCATCTTCAGGGGCAATGCCAGCTGGCTTTCCTTTCCTTTTCTACAAACTGTTCTTAAATGTGGGGTTTGAGTTGGAGAGGACTCATTTTAAGCTATTCACAATGGAATCCCTCCAGCTAAAGATGGATTTCCCAGCATGTTAGAATGGAAGGTTGTTTGTGAAAAGCTTATGGCTAAATTGGCATTTCTCAAAAGGGAGCTGACTTCTCTCACAGTCATAAACAGTTCTGCACATGTCATAGCCGGAGGCAGTGCTGTGCACAGGTCATGATGAGAAGCACCAAGACACTGCTGTCCACTGCAGCCGTGCTGGAGGCTCATTCATGCATTCCTTTACGGTCACCACTGTAAGTTACACGTTTCTCCCAAGTTTGCACTGAAGATGCAAAATTTTAAGCTGGATGCGGTGGCGCACCCCTGTAATCACATCACTCGGGAAACTGAAGCAGGGGAGCAGAAGTTCTAGGCCAATTTTTGTTCCATATAAACCTCAAGGCTGGTTTGGGATGATGAATTTTCTTTCACTCTAACCTCACGTTGGGCACCAAAGGTAGTTGGTTGTTTCTTACTCTGATTTTTTTGGCTCTTTGTGGGGCCTGCCACCCAGCCCCAAATAAATCACACACGGAGTCTTATTCTTCCATATAAATGCCTGGCCTTAGTTTGGCTTGCTTCTTGCCATCTTTCCTTAACTTAAATTATCCCATCTATCTTTTCCTGCTGGGTTCTTTTTCTTTTCTTACTTTTGTGTCCTACTTTCACTCTTCCTCCTTCTTTTCTCACTTCTTGATCTCTCCTGCTCCTTCGTCTCTCCTCCAAGATTTTTCTTCCCCTTTATTCACTCTGCCTGCCAGTCCTGCCTATCCTTCCTCATGCCTTGCAAATGGCCATTCAGCTCTTTATGAGAGAATCATGTGTTTTAGACAGGCAAAGGATGAGAGCTTCTCAGAGATGCATACATGCAACGTAAAAGACAACAACACATCTTTGCATCACAGCATAAACAAATGTAACACTTCTTAAATTAATATTCCAAACACTGGGACACATCAGAATCTGTCTGGGGGAGAAGATCAAAACAAGTAGAACATATGGCTCAACATGGTCAAAGGCATGCTTCCCCTAAGCATCTGAGCTGCAAGGAGGACAGAGAGAGAGAGAGAGAGAGAGAGAGAGAGAGAGAGAGAGAGAGAGAGAGAGAGAGAAAGAAAGAAAGTGAGTGTCTCAAGGACCACCATCTTTTAACTCTGGGCTGCTCACTTCCCACCTTGTGAAAATGAGGATGCTGGGCCTCTGTGTGACAGGCCCAGTATACTCTGTGGATATACCTACTGATTTTAAATCTGTTTGCTTTTTCAGGAGAGGATTTGACACAACCACTTCCTGAGGGCTGCTTTGGATGCCCCAAGAGCATACCTGTAGATAGCCCATTGTTGACAGAGCCTCTCAGTCATGCCATCAAAAAGCTTAATACAGAGAATAACCATTCTTTCTATTTCAAGATCGACACAGTGAAAAAAGCGTCATCCCAGGTCTGTAAACACACAAAGATGGGAGGGTGTAGTCTATGTGCAGATCGGTTGCTAATTTGATTGCTGGTCTTCACTGTGGTTGGGGAAATTGTACTTGGTAACAGGATTTTGTGGTTTAAATTTCAACTCCCAACTCCGCTGAGTGTCTCAGACAAGTATCTTTAAAGTTCTGTTTGCCAGAAGGTGATATCACACGCCTTTAATCCCAGCACTCAGGAGGTAAAGGTAGGCAAATCTCTGAGTTTGAGGCCAGCCTGATCTACAGAGCTAATTCCAGGATAGCTAGGGCTACCCAAAGATACCCTGTCTTGAAAAAACAAAAAGCAAAACAAAACAAAGCAAAAGCTGTTTTCTACCTGAAAATGTCTGGTGCGAAGCTCAAATTAGGCAATGTGTGCAAATGTTTCAGACTCCAGAAAATGGTACAAACCCTGGAAACCACTGTAGAGTTAGCAAGGTCCTGGGGAGGAAGAGCAAGGCTTTTCTTTTACCCTTTGCAGGCTCTTGTCTCACAAGAACATTTGTGTAAGGTGTTGTGGTGCACACCCATAATCCAAACTCTCAGAAGCTGAAGCAGCAGGATTGCCACAAGTTCTGGGTCATCTTGGACTACATAGCAATATCTGATTTAAAACACACACACACACACACACACACACAAACACACAAAGGAGGAAGGGGGACTTACGGGGGAAGAAATGCTAAACCACTTGGACTCTGCCACATCACTAGTCATTCACTAAGAACCCATAACTCTCACATGGCCCTGTTCTTTCTCCCTCCTCTCCCTTTGCCATGGATGCCCTCATGTCTATATCTCTAGGGCCTCAGCTCCACTTTCACACCCTATCATAAAAGCTAGTTACCTTCATCTGGGATCAGAGGAT